AGCAGGGTGGTGATCAGCGTTTAACAGCAGTATAACACACTGCTTAGATATTCAAAAGAATTCTGCTGACTATCTCTTTTTAGTCTTCCTCCTTCCTCCTCTCTCCCCCTCTCGCTCTTTATTCTTTTGTCTCAGTCTCTGCGGAGTTACCAAAGAGTGAATATACCAGTAAAACAGATTTTATAACCCCATTAAAGGCTGATATGCATCACTTTATAACAATATTCTGATATGAATATGAGATACTGCTGGCCATTGAAATGCAATGACTCACTGGAGCTGTACTGTACTGTTAAAGTAATACAATTAAAGTAATAAAATACATTAGTTCCTTGGCAAATAGCAGTATGGCACCAGACTACCGAATAAGAAAGCTAAAGTTAGCTCATGGTCTCTATCTAGCATACATTAGCTAACGTTTTGGACATTAAAGATCAGATGTACATCAAAAGACGTTTTTCACATCACAGCAATTACCCTGCATTTTAAGAACAATTTGCACTTCAGCTCCCAAATGTTTAAGATAAAATGTGTTTAAAATTAGCCCGTGAAATTACATCTTCATCCTCTTTCAGCAGCAACACAAGTCCTATTTAACAATTTATGTTTTAATTTATGTTTACATCATGACAGCCAGAAAACTAGACATTTAAACCCGATTTCCTCGTAACCTTTACCTTCTGCAAAAGTTGAGAATATATATAAAATTAGAGACATCAGTCAGAAAATAATATCAAAATACACTATTATTGCTACCATACCTTAGTTATTTTTATGGGTGGTATGTTGAAATTTAGGGGTACCAGAAAACAGGGTCTAAACTCACAACAGCCAGTACCTAGTGCAAAACTTTCCTAATCTAGTAATGCATAAAACCGAAGTGGCATTTACTTTAATATTTTCAAAGCGGGTTTGTAAAGATGTGTTTGTTGGGTATGTTTGTGTTTACTTCAAACAGTGTTAGTCATTGAGTTTGAGTCACTCAGTTCTTCCGTGTGCTGACGTCAGTCACACAACCACTAATGGCAAATATATTAAGCTTCAAATGGTCGTCAAGACCACACGTGTGGCTGAGAGTAAGATGACATCAAAACACTCGTGCACACATGAAAGAGGTGTTTCAGAAAAATAACATGACTCAAACAGCATTTTAACGTAATATGATATGTCATTTATGCAGCGTTTAAATTCTGTTTTTCAAAGCATTCCTATCATGTCTGCTGCTTTAAGTGATGTGTTTACTTAACTGGGCTAGTTTTATCATTGAATAA